TTTAGATATTTTACTTGAGACATATTGTGAAAATATGAATATTGAAATTGGAAATAAATAAGAAGAAAATAATAGTTTATTATTTGAAATGTATAGTTTATATGAATCTGAAGTAATGGGGAATAATAAAAATTCTACAATTTGTACAACTGCATCTTTCACTTCTGAACTTGAGTCCAATATTGGAAGAGAAAATTTGTTTTATTTAATAAGTAGGAGGCAGAAATCCATTGTCTCGACAACAAGTTCATTTATTGAACCTAATTTTTATTTACTAGCATTTTTTGTTTACTTTAGGTGATTTTTCCTTTACCTCGGAGGGAATAAATAATTTTGATATTTTAGCCTGGTGGAGTGAACATGCAAAAAATTATCCAGTTGTCACCACCATGGCACATGATCTATTAATCCCTTTGGTGTTTATAGTTGCATCGGAGTCTTATTTTAGTGTAGGTACTAGGGTGTTAGACGACAAGAAAAGCTGTATGAATGATGGAAGTCTAGAGATGTGCGTGCATCTGCTTTAAAGATTGGATGGATGTTCAAGATAGATTACAAGACAAATGAGGGCATGACACTACACCTGATGTTTCGCCTAAAGCAGATTATCAAAGTCAAGAACAATAGGAGAAAATGATGAAATCAATGTTTTTTCAATTTTCATATTTCATTCATCCAGCCATTGTATGCTTTGTATCTTTCAAACCGAAATGAAATAAAATTCCTATTTTTCTTCCAATTTGTTATTCACTTTGAGTCTGTGTCTTTGACTTCTTATTTGGTTAAGTATTTTTTTTTCATTTCTTTGTTAGATTTCTTATTTTTTCAAATAGTTCCCAACAGTTGAAGGAAAGTTAAATATTTTAGTTTTACTTAGCAAAACAAATAAAAAATATCAAATATATAAAAAAAACTAGTCTAGCTTGATTCGGCCCATGCCCAAGGCCCGAGCTGTGGCCTAGCCAGATACGGCCTAGGACCACAGTTCGACCTACAGCCCACCAGGCCCAGGCCCACAGCACGACACTAGCTTGGGCCATGGACCATGGGCCATGCCAAGCCGACCCTCCAAATTTTCTCCGAGGAGGGCGGCACGGCCCGCGGGTCGACACGACACGACCCACACTTTGCGCAGGCCATAAGGGGGTACACCTCTAAAACAACTAGTAGTTGTGAAACCATTCAAAAAAAAGGAAAACAAAAAAATGGTGAAAATAATGCAAACTCTTGGACATTCCCAAATGCAAACTCCTGGACATCGATGAAGGATAGAGAGGTTCCCACCGATCTGATTCCCAAATGCAAATCCGAGGGAAATTCCTCTCGGATAAGCTCCCCCTGCACCATCGACCAATGACCTCTTCCCAATTGCCATCTGTGATCCTTAATATTGTTGGGCAGTGATGAAACAGGGGAGACAGGGAGAGAGGATGAAGGTGAAGAAGGAGAGAGAGAGGGAGGAGGTGGATGGGGCTATCACCATATACATCACATGTGTATAAGTTTTGACGGAATATTGATAGGTGTTAATGGTAAGGGTAGAACTAGTCAATTGTCAGAAACAATAGGGGTACCGTTAGACAATAATCAAACAACAAGGGTATATTTACTCAATTTCGCAAACAGTAGGGTAGTTTAAGAAATTTACCCTTGAACTTATTTTGATCAATTATATTTTTTAAGCAATTGAAAAGGCATTGGCAACAATGATGCTCAGTGCACAAGTAGTTGCAATTATATATAATTTATATGTATGATTGGATTTATGAGTACAATACTTGTTAGATTTCCGATATAATATAAAGTGAGGATCACATATAAATCTGAAGCAAAAGTAAACCATAATTTATACTCAGCCCATTTACATTCCCCTGCAATTGCAATAGTGCAAATGAAATTCATAATGCAAACAAACGAAGCCTTAATTACAACGCAGTAGTCTTACCACCCAAAGGATTCTATAGCGTTCATATTATTGCAAACATTTTAATTTGGCCATAATGTGAATAGTCTATGCTATCCTTTTTCTAACTTTACTTTAGAGTTTTGTCCATTGATTAGTGCTTACCTATAGCATGTGATAGGATCTTATTTGGCTGAAGTTTTCCAAATTCCAATGGATCTAGTTTTTTGTTCTTTTAAAAGTTGTCCTTTGTAAGGAACTCATATAGATTCATCGCAAGGTTTAAAGCTTTTCACATGGATATAGGATGAAGGGAAGAACTTAATGACTTCTTTTGAACCCCAAACTATTTTTCCACATTGTAGATTCCTTGGTTATGTTAGGAAGCTCATTGAATGACTTGACTATCAAACTTGATCCCATCCAAGAAAAATGTTTGTTGGTCATGTCAGATATGGAACTTCTCTACATGGTGCAACTGTTTTTGTGCTGTAGAGGGATCTTGTGGCTGATTTGGATTGTTATTTTAGGCTATATTTGGTTTGAAGGAAAAAGCAGGGAAAGGTAGTAAAACCTTTACAAATCTTATATAGATTTCCTCACCTTTTCCTACTTTTTCCTTCAAACCAAACATAACCTTAATAGATGACTCACTAGATTTGCTACATGGTTAATTCCTAATGTCATATCAGCCATATGTATCTGTACCCCATTATATTAGCGAGCCCGGATCTCTTGAAAGCAAAAACCGTGCAAATACTCCGAGAGCTTGGCATCTAATCACACATCAGGCACATCTATCATACATGTATATTTAATTCATGGGGAGATGATCTCAGTGCAAGACTAGTATTGTACTCCGAGAGTATTCATACGTTTTTTGCTTTCATGAAATCCCATTTTCTATGGGGGTATTTGGTATAGTGGAATTTCATTGCTATTGTGTTTTAGGTTGATCAATACAACTTCAAGAGAAACATGTATTGCCACATCATAAACGAGTGTCTTTTCAACTAAAAAAAATGCATGTGCGCGAATTCAAAACATTTATAATACTTGTCAAGTAGAAAAATCTTTCTCATACAAATTTGTATTGATCAATATTACCAGAACACCACTACCAAACACCCCTATATGTTAGTGGTTTCACGGTTAATATTAGCCATTGAAAATTTTAAGTTTTAGTTTAAAACTTACCTATAAAGGCAGATTATGTGGATATAAGTGTGTTTTGAGCCATAGTTTTTCATAGATAGAAGAGGATAAGGAGAAAATTTGAAGAATTCTTTAATTTGAACTTAAAATTAATTTTCCCTAAAGATTCCTTAGTTGTATAGGGAAACTCATTTAATGACTACTAGTAAACATGCCTCCTACTTCTGGAAAAGGGCAAATAAATTTTAATTCAAAACAAAAATAAATGTAAAGCAGCATTGGTCACATTCTAGCTTTAAAATCATGTTATTTCCTAATTCAAAATAGGAAGTTAGCTTGTATAATAATAATAATAATAATAATAATAATAATAATAATCAAAACCCATTGCCAATTTCCTAACTCATGTTAAAGAAGCCAATATAAAGGATTTTCGAGATGTTATATCGGCGTGGGTCCCACTTTCTGGATAAGATGAACCATTAAACTAAATAGGGAACCTAATTTAGTAGTTTAAATCAAACAAAAAACTCAACCTAAATGCTTCAAGACTTAGCATAGTTTAAAAACCGAGTTGAGATCTTCTACCAACAAAAACTGTCATGACGATCTCACCATAAGACTGGGATTCATAATGCATGAGATGTTTGGATGCAGATAATGTTGAAACCTGTTGGGGTGGTTATTTGGTAAGAGATCTGAATCTCTGCTAAGAAGTTGAACTGCTTTTTTCCTTTTGGGCTAATGAATAAATGGTTTAAACATTTGATTAAATGGATCAATCCATGATATCATTATTATAAAAGATTTTGAAATAATAAAAAAAAGTGAAGCCCGTTGCATGGATCAGACAAGTGGTTGTTGAAGTCAATGGTTTTATTGATGTGATGGAATAAAAGTCAACCCAAACGAGGATTATGATTGGATCACGGTCTGATCGCCGATCATTGATCAGATAAGTAAATAGTTGGGCTGGGTACATTGAATTGGGCAGGCCGGGTGGCCCAGGCCCATGATCGCGTCTGCCACAGATGCGGGTGTGTTGTGCAGGAGAGAGAGAGAGAAATGGTGGAATGCAAGTACGAGTGTTAGGGGGTGTGTACTGTGTACGTGTGCGAGAGAAACCTGCAAAAGAGTGGGCCCAGGTTAGAGAATTCGAGTGGTAGGACCTACGATGATAATGGACGGAGGAGAAGATAATCGAGTGTGGGCCCAAAAGGTCTGGCCGTGAGGGGCGAGGAGAGAGAAGTAGTAGTAGGCATTTTGATATTTTCACGGGGACCCACTTGCCAGAGGTGAAGGGAGGAGAGAGAGAGAGAGAGGAGAGAGAGAGAGAGAGGAGAGGGTGGCATTGGGAGCCGTGTAGGAAGAGAAGCGGGGAAAAAACATACCGCAACAAAGCTGAAAAAGGGAGGCCACTTAGGCATCTCTCTGCGTGGGAATAAGGACAAAATGAGGCACGGTGCGGACGTGGGGGATGGTCATTGGCCACGTATTACGAGTAGAACTGTAGACAAATCGTTGTGGCAGGTGATGGAGGGAGAAATGGACCCACATGGCAGTGGCAACAGGAGAGAGAATGGGAGTGGACCGACTGATATTGGGAAACGGGGAAGAGGAGAAAGCAGCTCACATGTGGATCTCCGTGTGAAGGAAAAATATGCGATTCTCCAAAAAAAAAAAAAGAAAAATGGAGAAAAGTTCTCCACCTGACTGGCTGCTTTAGTGTGCAGGACAATCGTCTACGGTTGTATTCGTAGGGCATCACCGGTCACGGTAATCCACGTCAGCGCCGTACACATGGGACCCGCGTATCAGGCTGACGTGGTGTGTGACGATTGGACCCGTGTCCTCCGGTACCCGCAGAGGATTCGTAGTCGATAGATAGTAGATGCCTCTCTTTCTCTCTCTAAACTCTTTCTCTCTCTATTTATTCATTCCTCGTCTCTCTCTCGCCTCGTTTCTTTCATTTCTTCTCCTCTGTGCCCTAATTTCTCCCTCTGCATCTTTATGCGTCTGCCGGATGCTTCTCTGCGTTCTTGGATGCTCTGTTTCTGTTTACTGTTTTTGATTTATCAAAAAAATTTGACTTTTTGATTGTTTTTTGGTTCCATTGGATGATGCCAGTTGTACTTTTTGCCCATTTTGGGAGATTCTTGGTGGAGAATTTGGTTTTCTGTAATTTGAGCTGAATCAGGTAAACTCTTTTGTTCTTATTTCATTTAGTTTTGTTCTTATTGCTTGAATGCTGCAATCTGCTTAATACTATTGTTCTTCTTTTGATGGTTTGGGTTTATCTGTTTCGTATTTTGTTTGCCTGGGAACCTTTGGTGGAGTTGGCCTTTTGGTAGTGTGTATGATGAGTAGCCACTCACCATAGGTCTGTTTTTTCAGCTGAACTTTAATGTATTTGGTTGTTTGAAGTGTGCCATGCATGCCTTTTATTTTATTTTAGTTACGGGTTTTACATTTATAAATTGTTATTTGGAATGGAGTTTATCATATTGAGTAACAGAATTCAGACATATTCTAGTTGGTAACAGGTGGTGATTTTTCCATCTCCCACTAGCCCTGAAGTAGTTTAAGTATGGTTTTAGTTGGAAGAGAATTAGTTTTTGTGCTTGATCATAACGGGAGTTTGGGAATGTGATGAAAAGTTCGTTGTTTGTGTTGAAATTTTGAGTTTGGTAACTAGTAGTTACCTTTTCTATTAGTTTTTGGAGGTTTGATTATTGTAGGCTAAAGTATTGAAACACACATTTCCTTGGTGGACGAGCAGTTAGAGGTTAGATGTTAATAGGTGAAGGAAGTTTTGAAACTGGATGTATTGTACAAACCCACCCTCATTTTACCAACTTAATAAGCTGGATTTTCACTGAATGGTTATTGGCCTTCTAAATTTGTAGCCGTGACTGCTACCTTCAACATAAGGAAGAAATTCTCATTTTTTCTGATGGATATCACAAAATGCAGGATGAAGTGTTATATAGGATTGCCAGCTTTCTGGATTATTGGGGCCTTATGCTTTTGCCAAGTAGTTATCATCTAGGTACCCTCTAATATTCTAAAATACAAATATTACTTTGATTTTTTTTTCTCTTTTCCTCCCTTTTTTGGAAAGATAAGTTCTGTGGATGGTTCTCTATTTCAGAGAAGGTGGTTAGTTTTCTTTTTTGGTCACCATGAATGATTAGTTACTTTCTTTATTTCTTTTATTGGCATTGGCTCTGTGCTTAAATGTTGTGGCTACACTGGTTTAAGTATAATAGTTGCAAGCCGGGATTGATCATATTCTCTTAAGTGCTGAGTGGAAGTAGCTTATTAAGCACTAAGAGGACCACTAAGAGTTACCTAACGAGGCCTTAGTTTGTTTCCTCTCCAAGCCCTGGATTCCCTGTTGCTGGCAGTTAACTGTTTTTCTTCCACTTGTGGATATTCTCTTTTTGATAAATAACAGAAAATTTTATTAGAAAGGAGAAAGATAGAAACAAAGATCAAAGGATAATAAATGGAAAAATCATGGTCCAAACACCATAACCTATTCTTCCTAGAATACCATCCTTCTCTATCATTCCCTTACATGTGTTTCAAGGTCCATGAAACCACTCAATATGGAATAGAATTCCCCTAATATAACTTTTATCTATTAACTCCAAAACTGGGGAAGCTATCATCCAGTGCTTTCATGAGGTGTCTCATTTGTCAAGGCTCTTCATCTTCACCTTTCTACCCACTGATAACCAATAGCTGCTTGAGAATCACTTTCCACTTCTAATCGTTATTTATTTTTATGTTCTTGATCAGTAGCTTTCAATGTTTATTAATAAAGAAAAAAGAATGACTTGTTTACAAGATGCCTTGCATCCCCAATTGTAGGCTAGCATGCAGCTACCTACCCTTGACTTTCGTATAGCATTTACAAATTACAACTGTGCCCAAAGTAAATTATCCCTATTAGACCCTTGCTTAGTTAATATGTTGGCCAAAGAATTTGCAGATCTATGGACCCAGATAAAGGTTGTATTTAGTTCCCTTCCCGAAGACTATTTCCCTCGTGGTGTTCTGGTACTGCCAACATCCTTGAAAAAAGCCTTTCAGCCAAGAGATCACCACTTCTGAGATTCCTTCCACCATCAATCTTCGTACATTAATTGATCAGTCCATTCTCAACCCTTGTAGGATAGCTAACATTTCAGCCTTTGTAGAATCTCCATATCAGATTGGCCCTGAAAACTAGTACCATGCTGGTTCCTTAAGACTCCACCCACTCCTGGTTTTCAGTAGATAATGTTTTCCAAAGGATTTTGGGCAGATTACACTCATGGCTGCCCATTCATAAATCTTTCAAAGGAAGGAGTCAAAATCTTTTTGTAAATTGCAATGGTATATCATGCTAACACTGCAGGGGCAATTTTTTTTGTAAGCTCCCTTTTGTACAGTCTCTTGTTGTACAAGTATTTTTTTTTTTTGAGAACTACTGAATTTACTTTACCATTTTTTTAGAAAAATTAATTTTTATCCCATTTTTATGAGGTAGTCTCCATTGTATGCATAATGGAGAACATCACAATTTTATCGAGGGTTTTAAGATAGGCAAGGAGGGGTTGGTTATATCTCGTTTACAATTTAAGATGATACACTCGTTGTCATCAATGCCTCTGTGGAGAAAGCTACAAATTTAAAAGAAATTTTGAAGAATTTCGAAGGGCTATCGGGGTTGAAGGTTAATCTTAATAAAAGCATTGTGCTTGGTGTTGGTGATATCGAGACTGAATTTCTTGAAGAGTGTGCTGGAGCATTGGTTTATCATTCCTTTTGTTGCTAAAACATTGGCATTTTCTACATGACAACCAATGCTGGATGGATTGGAGGAGAGGTTGAACAATTGGAAATGCAGATGTTTTTCTTTGGGTGGTAGATTACATTGGCTAAGAGTGCCCTTGTTACCTTACTGGTATATTATCTCTTGATTCTTATTGTTCCAACTTTGATAACAGAACAAATTCAGAAGATTCAAAGGAACAAATTGTCAAGCAGATATTCTAGCTAAAGCTGGGTTGGGAAGGGATTTTTTGTATAGTGCCATAATGCTAACTGTTATCCTTCTTGAGTGCACTTTCTTTTTTTTTTTGGTTTGAATCTCTTATGCATACTTCTTCTCATGTGCATCCTTCCCTCTTTTGTTTGAATGAAAGTTATATCTTCTCAAAAAAAAGAAAAAAAATCGAAAGGAATTTGTTCTGGAATTGAGGTGGAGGAAAAGGGAAAAAAGTGCACTTATTAAGTGGAGTTGGGTGTGCAGATCAAAAAGTATGGGTAAGGATTAGAGAGTTGAATAAGATGTTGCATGATAAGTGGTTATGGAGATTTTGGTTGAGAGAGAGGAACTGTGGAGAAGAGTGGTTGTCCTATCAAAAAAGAAAAAAAGTGGTTGTTTGTACGCTTGGGGTTGCAAGGTTTGAATTGGACTCAAGAGAAGTTTCTACATCTTATGGGGTTAGTGTTTAGAAAGGTATTATGAAATTCCATGAGAAGTTTGTTTCACATGCAAAACTTGTTTGGGAGAAGGAACTAGGGTGAGGTTTTGTGAAGATGAATGGAGTGAATGTGGCAAAATATGCAATCTTTGTCTTGGGTTGTTTAGGTTGAGTGTCAAAAATATTATAGTTTGCCAATGTTTTGAAAAGAGGAGAAATCAGATTCTTTGGAGTCCTAAATTCAGGTGGCTATTGTTGGACAGGGAGGTGGGTGAATGCATTTCATTACTTGCTAGGCTGGAGCAGACTAACATTTATCCAAAGTGCCCTGGATATTAGATGGTGGAAGGAGTGTTCTGATGAGGAGTTTACTGTTAAATCTTTTAATAAATCTGTGACTGTAAATCAGATTGAAAGATCTAATGTTAAGAAGGTTTTGTTGGAACCCAATTCTCTAAGGTGGAAGCATTTGCATGGTCATTAGCCTTGGCCATTGAGCCATCATCTAGGGGTTTTCATTTGGCATATACGTGTAAGAAGGAAGGGAAAAATGTGGAGCACCTGTTCATCCATTACGGATTTGTGGGTATTATTTGGGAGGTTCTTTACTATTTTTGAGATAAGGAAGTCAAATCCAGCAGAATTCTTGGGAGTAATTCAAGGGATGTAGATAGAAAAAGTTTTGAACTTGGACAAGCTGATTGTTGAAGGTGATTCTATGCTAGTGTTTGGCTACAGAAGCTGGAGACTGTCATTTGGGCTTTTAGGGATGAAGAAGTTTAAATGGTTAACTTGCAATCTGACAGCGAGGATATGGTGGGAGAGAAGATAAGCTAATGGGATGCTGATTCTTTAGCTAATAAAGGGGTCAACAGGGATCAGTTGTAATATTTTTTCTTGTATATCAACCATGAGAGGTGTATCTCAGAACTCTCTCTGGGATTCTTGTATTGCTCTATATATTGAATCTTCCAATAAAATTGAAATTACTTATAAAAAAGGTCTAATCCAGAATTGAGGATTCCTTTTCTGATTGGCCAAAGCAAAAAGGCTAAGAAAATATGGAGTATCGTCTCCTTTGCTGTTTGCTAGGGCATCTGGAGGGATAGGATTAGGCATATTTTTGAAGACAAACATAAACACAGAAGAAAGCTCATATCAGAGAGGTTTGTGCTTTGGTGGCAGATTGGACTCTTAATATTTGAAAGTTTGAAGAATTCAACAGGGAAGATCTTTAGGAAAATTTTTCGATTTCTTCGGAAAACGTGGAAGCAAATTCAAACTTATAAACTTTGATATGTATTTTTTTTTATAATCTTTAATTTGTTTGTTTTTTTTTTTTCTTTGGAAACTGTATCTTGGTGTTTTGTAGTGTTTTGGTTGCAAGTGAAAGTTCTTCAATGAGTTTGTAATCCTTTTTATTTTAACGACAAATTCTTTTCTTATCATAAACAAAATTGTTCATGATGCACATTCTTGTGTGTGTGTGGGGGGGGGGGATGTAAGCAACCCATTGCCATCCTCTATAGATATCATCAAGGGAGAATGGGGCAAACATGTCCTTAGTATGACTGCTGCCCTTTGACACCGATGATTTCAGCAATGGTGCCTCTTTGGTATGGTTGCTGCCTTTGTGCTATGCAACTTCTAATTAAATTCAAATATTGACCTCCTCAGTCCTTGCAGAAGAGCAAGAATTTATGGTTTAGTGGCAACTGATGTCCAACTGGACTTGAATAAACATAAAGAAATTTTCCATCAGGATCTCTGAAAATTCTATCAATACCTGAGTTTCCTGGATTCCCAAATGAACAAGAACAACCATCAAAGTTCAGTTGGATTTTTCCTTGGAAAGGAGGATGCTATGCTTGCACTTGAATCTGTTTTCTAGTTGAGAATGTAGTGATCTCACACCATGCCATCATCACCATTCACAAAAGAACATCAAACTCATCCTGTTAGAGTATCCAATTTGCTACTTTGAACTGAGTGCTGTTAGTTCTCTCTCTCTCTCTCTCTCTCGTATTGTGAGTGCTCTTTCAACACTCTCTCTCTTGTGCATTCTGTTTTTACTAATGAATTTTCTTCTTATTACTTCATTGTCAAAAAGAAAAATAAAATAAGCACTTGGTTTAAAGAAATTACAAGAAACATTATGGTTGAATGCACTCAAATCAGTAAGCTTGTCTTAGGATCCTGTTGTCTCCCCTGCAAAGCATCATCCTATCTTAAGTTTTGCCAAAGCCAAGGGCATTCTTGTAAATGAACATATGCACGAGTGTATTTCCCCATCCTACCATGTAAACTCCAGTGGTTCAAGGTACTTCACATGTCTGGTGGATTCATGGCCGGTTAGAGGATTCAGCAAGAGGGTAGAATCTTTTGGAACCTTACCCCATTTGCCATTTGTTGGTCCTTTTGGAAGGAAGAAAATGGAAAATTTTGAAAGAGAAAATTTGAGTCCTAACTGGTGATTGGGTGTATACAAGGGGCTACTCTCCCTAAGTTTCTATTTTAAGGGAGTTTGATGAGCTTCAAATTTCAAGTTTCTGTTATAGATGGATGTCCATAATATTTGATCCATAGCATCTGCTGCATGTTCCTGAGTGTGTTTATCCTTTCACCTTGGATTTCTTTTAATAAAAACTCTTTACTTACAAAAAAGGGCATTTCACATGTTTGTTTTTTTTAAGCTTTTCTCATTTTTGTTGTTCCCTCTTGGAATTTGCTTTCTATTTTTTAAAGTGCTTTCGAAATGATTGTTTGGGGCAAATTTCTGGCTCAGTTTCTCAACATCAAAAAGTTGAATTCTCACTTCATGGCAGAAGGTTTGCAACATGGAATGAGTAAAAGTACAACTCTGAGTGTATTCTTGGTGGCTGTAGGAGTAACACTTATCATCATAAGTAGACTGTATCCAACCTAATTTTTCCTGGGTGTAGAGCAGTCAGCAAGCTGAGGTGCTGAGTTTTCAACTTTTAATGAAGCTTAGCTGAATAATCTCGTTTGCAAATATTGGTTGAAACAAAAAGAAAGAAAAGTTTTGAAAGTTCAGTTACAAAAAATTAGGTTCATGTGAATCGGGGGTGGGGGTCTGTTACTTGATGAAAAAGCAGGAACTTGGGAATCTTTAAACTTTGAGAGAGGTTCTTAGCATGAATAAATTTTAGTGGGTGCTAATACTAAGACTGTTTTTGGGTTACTGTTGAAAAGGAAATAGAGAAGGAAGATGGAATCCTGTTGTTCAACCTTCTGAATTCCATGAAGGGTTTTTTTTTTTTTTTAATGTTTGAATGTATTTAAATCCCTGGGAAAGGTATCACTTAAATCCTTTGTAATTTAGTCATTGGCAGTGTAATTTCATTTTTTTCTCTGAATTCCATGGTGATTTAAAGACAGCATATAAGTTGTTGCTGGTTTACTCAACTGAACTCAAGTCAGCCTTAATCCCAACTATTTGGTTGATGGCTATAAAAATTCTGTCCCAGTGTCCCATTATTATGCTCAATCAAGAGACATTGTTTTCTGTCAATTGTAAGCCCTTGATATTGTTACCGGTCAAAAATAAAGAAACATAATAGAAATTGTTAGATGCATCAAGCAAGCTACCTACAAACTCACTTTCGAAGTGTTTTGCTTTTACTTTCCTTTTTGGTACCATTTTTATATTAGTTATATAATTTAATATATATTTTTTCTTTCTATACCCTGTTTGGTGGTTTCTAGAGGTAGATGTACCAGATACCAGGCATTTGCGCCAAATACCAAGGTAATGGGTAGATTTGTAGAACCCATAGGAGGTCAAGGTGGGTAATGAGAACTTCAGCTTTGATGGTTATTTTTGGCAACCCTGTTTCGGTTGCAGAATGCAGATGGAAGAATTTTTAGGGAAAAAAAGGAGAGTTGGCTCTGGTAAAGTAGATTGCATGACTTTCTTGTACTTAGGAGATTCCGTCATGTTCTTGAGTTGTCAAGTGATATATTTTAGGCTAATATAATTGCTTGAATGTATGGGAGGATCAGAATGTCAATTGTCATTGAAGAATATCATGCAACTAATCAGAGAACATGTTTTTTGGCTGATTAGAGACTTTAACATTGATATGGCTAATCAGAGACTTCGCATGCGGATAATGGGCAAGGACCTTGAAAAGAAAAAACCTCTGAAGGAAGTGGCAGAACTCATCCAATTGTAGATAACTTAAGAGAATTTGTTGATGAATACTCATAAGAAAAGAGAATCTGTTGATGAAGAGGAATATAAGTAGAGATGGATTGAGGGAGTTGAGGTTTAATAAGATATTGATGAAATTCTGTTTGATGTTTCTCATAAAATAAAGTAAAAGATTGAATTAAAGAAGGCTGGCAATACTGAAGTACAGGCAGCTGAAATTTTGTTCTTTTTAGGTATGGAGGCAATTTCATGAAAAAGATTTTACATAGTTGGAGGAGAGGGAGAGACAGAGAAGAGGAGGTGTTTGGGATAAAGCCATAAAGAAGAGAGATTGTGATGGGGTTAATGTAGCTAGTAGAAATGGGGAAGCTGAGAGGTAAAGTAGGGTGATGAGGGACCTGATGGCTTGTTGGGTGGGGGTCACAAGATTTAAATGGGGATCTAAGTTTTTATTTTTTTATTTTTTATTTCTTATGACGTTGACAAGTATTGGGAGGAGATAAATGTTTATGAAGGAGAATCTTGGTGTCTCTTGGTCAAGTAAAGGATCATGCATACTGAAATTTAAGGTGACAGAAAGTTATTAACGGGCTAGTGTTGTCTTTGTATTTGAGGGTCTTTTTGGTTTGTGGGTTTTGGGATATTTTATTTGAGCACCATGCCTTCTTTGAATGTTTCCTCAAAACGCTTCCATTATATCCTATTTAATCCTTTCTTATTTCAATAACTTTTTTCTTCACCATCAAGTTAAAAAGGCTTGCTTTCTGATGCATGAATCATGATCTAATTGTTGGGTGAGCATGGTGTTTGTATTGAGGGACTGTATCAACAAGTTACTTTATCGAGAACTAGGTCCAATATACCTTTATCTACCCAAAAGTGGTCATTTTCCTTGATTTTACTTGTCCTGCTAAATGCTTACCTAATTTCATGGTTGATTATGTTGTTCCTTGCTATATTCCTCTTGGTATTGCTGTATTCTCTTCTTTTGCTCTTTTTTCAATAGTATAGAGTATGTGAACATCTGTTGTTAATCCCCACAAAATTGTCGATCAAAATTTATAGTTGACTGTCTTGACTTGATTTGACTTGATTTAATGGTATATATGCTCTTATTTACTCTTATATCTGTTTTCTGGAACTATTTCTGTCTGACTGTTTAATTTTTCCTGATCCATGTATATAGGAACCAAATCTGGAAGGGATACTGTGGCTTGATCACTATACACAAATTCGGATCCCTGGCCCTAGCCATTAACTCATGTCATGCTTCCAGATACTGTTAGTCATGAATCTAGGACCAGGGATCCAAAGATGAGGGAAAACAGTTCTGTGAATACTAAAATGATTGATAGAAATTGGGTCCTGAAACGTAAGCGGAAAAGGCTTTCATGTGGACCAGATCTATCAAATGGTAAAGAAGGTTCTTCTGTACCATCAGAGTCTCCAAGAAATAATCCTCCTGCTAAACGTAGGCTGAAATGTGGTATAGGCTTGGCTCGGTCTCCACGCAAGAAGAAAGGAAATGATGGGGTAAGTTCACTTTGTGTTATACTGGAAATCAGAAATTGCTGATCTAATTAAATCAATATATGTATCCGCATATGATTTTGGTGCTTTCAGTTGATACCACACTTGTTGAGTTGTCAAGCTCTTTCTGAGATGTTTCTGTGGCTTTTGGCATTTCATTTTTAATAATGTTTGCTTGCATCTGTTCATTTCCATTCAGCTTTTGTCCTTGAATACTATAGCTTCTGCATCTAACCTAATCTCTTAATGTGGGCTTGGCATTTTTGAATTTACTCAAAAAAATGTTTTTGGATTAAAAAAATGGGTAATAACTTCTTTCTCTTCTCCTTTCTTGTTCTTTTTCTCTTCTCTCATTTCCTCTCTAGTCCTAATTTACTCTAAGAGATATCATCTAACTCAGAGACAAGAATATTTCTCGTCCTTAGAGCTACATAGAAGCCACAGCCTTGACTTCTTGATTTATGGTTATGCCTCCAATATTTGCACCACTATCTCATATGGTGATATTGATGATAAATTTACCAGTCTTCATGGATTGTTTGCAGTGCTTTTTGTTGCCAGGTGAAAGCTCTATCCTTAGTTTGTAATCCTTTTTGATTTTAATAAAAAATTTTTTTTCTTATTATAAAAAAAGCCTTCTTATTCTAAGAAATATGCAGCAATTCTGGTTCTTGGTGTTCGGTCTTCTTTAATTGATTAAAACGTTTGAAGACCCCTCTATCTGTTTCTCTCTTTTTGTGGTGTCATTAAAGGGTTTGCTTTTTTTTTACTGTAACAGTTTTGTCTTAATTTGATTGGCAAAAGAAGAAAAGAGAGTGGAAACAAGAAGATAAGGTGTTGGCCTCTTAATGATTCACCAACCAGAGTGCAAAATTGGATTTTGATGAGGGATGGACAATGAGTTTAGAGAATTTGCAATGGATATGGTAATTAGAGGATTGCAAGTCATAGCTAATTTGTCAACGAGGAGACAATTATTTATCAGGCATGGGCTTTCCTTCCTCAGGGAGTTGTAAGGCTCAGATTTGGTGGATGTTCTATTAGAAACCTGCCCTTTTGCTTGTTGTAAGTTCAGAGGTCAGGATGCTGAGATCATTATGGTCTTCTTGGTGTGATTGGTGGGGAGAATCCATCATAGCACCAATCTAACACATATTTCAGTATTTGGGTCGATGTAATCTCTTCGTTTCAGCAGGTGGAGTTTGAGGGGACTCCTTGGTGGTTGTTTGGTGGATGAGAAACACTGGAGCTACTGTTATCATATTAGGGAGGGTGGGGCCTTGATTTTTGCAGTTAACACCTTATTCAAATGGAGTTGAAGGTCAACTGACAGGATGGAGAAATCCTTGGTTGAGGATTTGAAGAGTGTCTTGTATTAGGCTCTATAAGCTGTGCTGATGATTGATTGTTTTATCTGATTAATGTTTTTGATCAATAGTATTCAAAATCATAATGAGAAAAAATGGTTGTAGAAAGAAGTCATGGTAATAATGGTGTTCACCTTTACACCTTTTTAGGGGTACTTCTCTTTGTCTTCTTTGTATTGATATTTAAAATTCTTATTGTACTTACTCATTGGAATTTGATTAACACAGGCTTCTCCTTTGATCTGGGGACCATTGCTTGGTGTAGTGGTAAAATCTCAGGTTGTTAAGTGTGGGAACGAGGGTTCGAGTCTGAGATCAGCCACTTTGTGCAAAAAAAATGCCAAAGTTTAGAACCATATCCAAAAAAATCTTTTGATCTCAGTAAAAGATTAAAAACTATTTTACAAAACACTTGGGTTGTGTTTGTATAAGCTTCAGGATTTGTTTTTTTTTTAAAGCCCCAAAGCTCAAAGCTCGAATTTTAAGCTGTGTTTCTAGGCATACAAGTGTTGAATTTAGATTATGTTTTTATAAGAAATACTTACCAAACACTCAGTACACTTTTTGTCAATTTTTTGTTTAGCACGACCTAAAGCTCAAAAGCAGAATTATGGGCTATATATGAGGGTCTGTGGCATTCTTTGCATAAGGGCTAATTCCCTCTTATCATCGTGTCAGACTCTTTATCTACCATCAATGCTATTCAAAAAGGAACATGGCCAAACTGGAGAACAGGAGTGCTGTTCAGGAACACAATGCATCTCATCAGTCAGGGAACAAATATTAGCTTCTCTAATTGCTATAGAGAGGCAAACAGATGTACTGACAGTCTAGCTAATATGACCTTAGGCCAATCTGATTGAAGAAAATATCTAAATAACCTGCCTGTTAATATACTTACTTTTTTTGGTAGAAGATGTGACTTGTGACTGGAGAACAGAAGTGCTGTTCAGGAAGATGATGCATCTCATCAGTCAAGGAACAAATATTAGCTTCTCCCATTGCTATAGAGAGGCAAACAGATGTGCTGGCACTCTTGCCATATGACCTTAGGCCAATCTGATTGAAGGAAACATCTAAATAACCCGCCTGTTAATATACTTATTTGGTAGAAGATATGACTGCTTATCCCCAATGGAGGAGATGTAAATTTTCTGTTAGTTAATATAAATTTCTATCTTTTGGATAAAAAAAGCTGAAAAACAGAAGCTTATCCAAACATAGCCCTAGTTCAGATAGAGACCATACAAGGGCAATTTTGGAAGTTGATTGGGATGACTAGCTTAATACTGTATGAATTCAAGGCTCTAAAAGGCCATTACTCAATGTTGGTCCCATTTGAGGTGTAGGGAGGGGTGGACTGGTTAGACCTAACCTTTGCCTTTTTTTTTTTTCCTTTTTTCTTTTTGGTGGCTCTCAGAAGCCTACATTCTTATTTTTGTCAGCACAGGATTTACTACTATACCATGCAATGACCCCTTATGAGTTCAAGGTTCAATTCCATAAGAAAAGTGGTCTGAGTTTAAAGGAAAGAATGTATGTATATTGAGACATTACTTGTGTATGTATATGTGCTGTTGTTTGAGGGTTTGGACATTCATTGGTCCTATAAATTTCACCAAATTCTTGTACGTTAAATAATATGTATATGCCATGTTGCAGGAAACCAGTGATATCAAATTCATAGTTGAATTGCTTGAGCTTCTAAGTCAAAGTTGAAGAGAACATATTCAGTTTGTCTCTCTACTTGTGGACTGCATCCTAAATTAAAGTGTCAAAACTAACATGTTTTGCTTGTTTTTGGTGTCATTAGAAAACGTTTTCAATCATCTATCCTACTACCCAAGATTTTGTGATCCCTACATGAATTGAGAAAGTTATGGCTAAGTTTTGGACAAATTACAAGTCTGTAACGGGATTCCTATTTTCATGGTTGTTTTGAGTTATAGTAGTTTCTGGGTTTACCTGGAATTCTTATTTGGAATTTATGTCAAACTTGTAACAGGTGAAAAAGTTGTTTTTTAAAGGTTTTCAAGAGTTTTTATGGGCAGTTTTAAAATCACCATAGTTGTAGCCTGTAGTATGAATTAGAGAGTGATTAGGAGTCATTAGATTAGGGAATTTAGTGTATGTAGGGTATTATTATTGCTGTAAAGAGGATGATAGGAATTGGGATTAAATTTTGCTTAGATGTTGATTCCTTGGTTATTTTTATCTGTTTTGGTTTTTTATTTTTGTAGGTAAATCCTGCATCACAGTCCTATAAAAAATCAAGTTTCACTATGATTGCTGATCTTAACAGGAGCAGCTTTAGCTTTGATGTCCTCATTAAACCAAATAGTATTTATCAAATTTCACTCTACAGATATATTCTAATTATGGAAGTACCAATTGTGAAACTGATTGGAGTTCTGATTACTGTGCTTAATTTGATTGCATAATACACAGTTATAGATTTTGTTAGTGGTGTCTGTTAGTGCTTTTTGTTTTGTTTTGTTTTTAATTGCATCCTAAACTTCAATAACTTTTTTTATGCCTTCCATCAATCTCATTCTCTTTTTCCCTTTCAGTACTACTTTGAATGTGTAATCTGTGATCTTGGAGGCAACTTGCTTTGCTGTGACAGCTGCCCTCGTACCTATCATCTCCAGTGTCTTACTCCACCTCTCAAGGTATATCAACATATAATAGTAATCATATTCCAAATTGCTTGTTCTTGGTTCTTAAATATCTCTGCTGTCATAGAACTAATCATTTTGTATTTTATATTGCTGGAGCATTTGACTGATCATTTTTTTTTTGGTTTTGTATTGCTGAAGCGTACTCCTCCTGGAAAATGGCAATGTCCTAACTGCTCAGAGAAGACTGTTTCTCTAAAGTCGATAAACCATCCAGAGTCCATTTCAAGACGGGCAAGAACAAAGGTCATTGCTGAAAAATCTAAGACAGGAACTAAATTGTCTGACTGTCCCAAGTTATCGCGGGTATTAGAAAGCTCCATTCCTGGAAAGAGCAGATCTAGTAAAGGAAAACCTTCCTCTTCTCATTCAGTTCCATCTCTGGAAAAGAAACCAGAGCCATCCCAAACAGATGTTCATTGCAGCACAAAGTCAAGCCAATCATCTCATGGTGGATCTGCTGAAGGCATCTCATCATGTGCAAATACTGATGCTGAGAAGAAGCCCAACTTTTCTTGTACAGATGCTGGCAGGAAGTCTAGTTCTCCTGCTAATGAAGTCCAGTCCTCTGGGAGAATGTTAGACAAGGAGCCAATTGAAGAATCTTCTGGCAGGAAATCTGATTCTCAACATAATAATGGGGCTCCATTAAATGAGCCAATTCCCTTACTGGATCGTGCAGCTAAGAAGGCAAGGAAAAAGAAGCAGAAAAATAACAAGGAAGAGAGTCATAAGAAATTTGGTATTGATAAAGGAAAATGTGCTGTAAAAAATCCTTCCAAGCGTGGAGCAAAATCAGCTTCTGCCTGTCCTGAGGGTAGTAAATCTCGCCAAAAAAATAATTCAGCTGATCATCGTGTCTCTGTATCACTGTCGAAGGAGGGCCTTGGAACAAAATCTCCTGTTACCAAGCAGGAAGATGAGGTATATTTTACTTGAGGGTAGTTTGCAGCTTAAGTATGGCTTGTTTTTTTAAATGTTTTTGCTGGTTTCAGAACTCCAATTTCTCAAGCTGCAAGTCATGAAGGTTTTGAATGCTTTGACTCTATAGGTACTTGCTTTGAAGATTACAGCTGCACTATACTAGTTATATGAGCTACTTATTGCTTGAAAACCGGTTTTCCAAGTAAACAGTGATTGCAGAATGGTCCTCGGTGTGATTAATAAGAAAAGCAGCATTGGTCCTTAACCTAGCAATCCTTACTCATTATAGATAACAGATAATTATTCTGGTGAGAAAAAAGAAAGAGGGGGTGGGGGATGGAGAGAAAAGGAAAACATCTCTACAAAAGGGAGAAGTTCTATCATCTTTTATAGGGAGGAGAGAGAATCTCATCATACAAGCCAACATTTTAATAATGAAAGAGATTGATTGAATCTGAAATGGGGAAGAAATCCCACACATCACACTAATCAAGAGGCTATAAATACAAATGCTTTTCAATGTGTAAGGGTACTTTTTGAAGACAACCCACATTGGGATGCTTGTAAATCTCGTTGGAGAATCAAGGAAAAAAAATACTCTTTGAGAACCAAAACAGATCTTCACTGATGAAGTGTGCATCTTGAGTTTGAGCAAGATTGACTGTGGTATTCATTGTGCAAGCTCATTGAGTAGTTCTTCGACCATGGTTTCCCTAAAGAATAACAAGTCAATTGTAAAAAAGGCCCTCCTTGGATAAATTAAATGTAAACTTCAAAGTCCCAAGTATGGGAATAACACAATCTGAGAATTAGAGATCCTTGCTCTTTCATACAAAAGTGTAAAAGGAAAAAGTTGCTATCGTTATTTCATTTTGTTTTGAAAATAACAGCAAAATTTCATTAGAGTAAAACATCAATACAGAAAGGCTGGTGATGAGATGACATCAGAGACCAATTACATCATATTTTCAAGATTACATTCTTGAATCTCAATACCAATCTAGAAATTAGATTCTAAATCTGCCACAATCTTCTCCAACTCCCACTGTTTATCTTCAAAAACTCTCCCCCCAGCTGCCTTAAAGTAAACAGACACTGATAATTCCCCCACCTTCTCCCCTAATTTCAACAGCGCACTAGGATCCCACATTACGGTCAAACCACCCCTGGAATGACCTACTGCATTAATTCATCAAACAAAAGACCTACTGCATTAAGTTCCAGCCATTCCCCATAACTTGATCCTCAAGCTTCAGTCTTCTCACACTGGACCTCTCCAGCTTTGTTTCTTGTAGACAAACCACGTCTGGCTTGAGTTTTCTAATGACCTCTCTCACCACCATCCTCCTCTGATCTTCCCTCAAGCCCCGAACATTCCAAGACAGAATTTTCGCATTTCCCCCTTTTAAAATTTATTTATTCTCTCTCTCTCTCCAGACTTCCCCCTTGAAGGCCTCCTCTCCCCCTTGTCCCCTTCCACCACTTTTTTTTGCTCCCTCTCTTCTCTTCTCCTTATCTCAAAATGTTCGAAAGCTGTTCTTGCAAACCCTTCCCCACCCCAGAAAAATAGCTTGAGTGTTCCTATTATCATTTCATTACCAAAAAAAGTAGTTTAACATTATTTCAATACGAATGGAAATATATCATTATTTATAAAGAAAAATGTCCTCCAGCATCGGATCAAGTAAAGCTAAACTCAGATTGGTGAAGCTGGGGGAACCCTGTCCAGCATAGGTATATATAGGAAAAGTTATGGGGCCATTATTGCAATCTTTTCAGGACCATAGATGTAGGAGATTCCACAAGAGCTAATCTGCTAGCTTTATTGCAAAGGTTGTGGTTGGACAAATCTATGGACCTTTAGAACATAGTGGTGGAAGTGGGCTCTAAAGTAGTAGTGGGATGGATGAGAAATGATAGTTGAGGAATTACACACCATAAGTTAGATCAAACAGCTGGGAAGGGAGTCAGCAGTTAGTTTTCTTTGGGTACAAAGATCGTCAAATAGCTTGGCTGATTTTTTGGCCAAACAAGGGGTGAACAGGGAACAGTTTTATTGGGGTATAAACACATAAGTGCATGTATTTTAGAAAATGGGGGGTTTGGTAGCTATTGGATAGCCTAATGAAAAAGGTTGCTTCTCATGTACATATTATTCTTTCGTTCATCTCAATAAAATTTTTGCTGTTAACAACAAAAAATTATTGATAAAGAAAAACATTTTTTTTTGTGTTGTGTATTCTACCATTCCATGCTTGAAATTTATGTTCACCCACAGAAGTGCTTATTTTGGATGAGTGCCACTTTGCCGAATTTTTTTTTTTTGATAGGAAATGGTAACTTTCGTTAAGAAATTAATGAAAGATATTACAACCCCAGCATTCCAAAGCTGAAATGCTGAACCCACATTCATAACCACTGTTACAAAGCAGCCAGAAAAGTTCACTCCTGTTTGATCCATGTTTGGATAGTGTCAGCCAGGCCATTTGCTGTTTTTCTAACCCATTGGAAGTTTGCTTCAACTTACCTTGTAAGGCACCGGATTTCTCTCATAACTTGCCTGTGGTTCCAGATTCCCAAATTTCCAGATTTCATCCAGTCTATTACTAATCTTGAATCCCCTTCCACTTGAATCTGGTGTAGTTCCATCTCAGACCTTGCAGTTGTGCTAACACCAGCTCTTAACAAATCACCCACTCATTTAGGCCCCGAAAAAACAGCCAGAATTTTGCCTTACCCGTCTCTAAAGACTCCTCCTACACCTGAGGGCCTATGTTACCAAGGTAGCTTCCATCAAAATTGAGCTTTATTTTTTATTGTGTAGAGGTTGCCCAACCCTCTTGCATTGCTGGGCTAGATCTTGAAGAGTTTGCTACTGTATTCCAGCCCCTGATTATATCGTCCACTATGAATTCCTTAAGCAATTCATCTGATTTTACCCAATGCACTTTCTTGATAGTGATGCAATCAATCAAGTCCTCCCTCGATTTCCTTTTTCCTTGAAAGATTCTATTGTTTCTTTCCTCCCAAACTGTCCATAAGACTGTGGCTCTTGTGGCTCTCCACAACATCCTTCCTCTTTTTTTCGGTTGTCTAAAGAAGCTTGCTTCAAAAAGGTTAGCTACATTTTTTTTTTTTGATAATTGAAAGAAGGTCTGCTACATTAGGGGGCGGGTGTCCACTTGCAACCAAAGAGAGAAGAAAACCACTCCCAAATACAAGAGACAAAGGTACAAGAAATTAACATGTGCTTAGAAGTCTCTCGACAAGCAAAGCAAAGGGAGCAAATATGAGGGGAAAGACACTGATTCGACCTTCTTTATTGTATTACATCACAGGTATTGATCTTTGACAGAGCCACTTCCCAACAAAATCCCTCACTTTTGGAGGTACTGGACTGCACACACTTCTTTAGTTGGGAAAGACACAACTATAGATGAAGAGTGGAGGAGGGCACTGCATCAAGATGAACACGAATGCAGACCAGAGGAAGAGGCTGACCAAATTCTACTATCTTTACAAGAAGCATCTAGAAAAATTGTACTCAAAAGGGAAAGTAGTTCATCCACTGCACCAATTTTAGCTTCCCTAAGGCCTCTCCTCAAACCGGAGTCCCAAGAATCTCCATTACGATTAACAAACACGATCTCTTGCCCCTTATTCAAAGAAAGGGAGTACAAGGAAGGGAATTTGTCCATTAGAGAGCTATCCCCAAACAAACATTTTCCCAGAACAACACTTTATTATTGGAACAAGTATTATACCTGATAAATGGTTGGAGTAGGGGTGACTCTAGAAATGACCTTCCAAGGTGACGAGCGGGAAGCCATAAGGTTGAGTCCTGCCTCCTAGCCATTAGATGCTCTGCCATGAATACTTGCTATCACTTTATGCCACAATCTATCCTACTCATTGGGCCATCTCCATACCCACTTTCACAACAATGCTACATTCCTCTTTTTGATATTGCTAATGCCTAAACCCCCCTATTCTTTGCTTCTGGTCACTACCTCCCACTTTACCAAGTGATCCTTCTTAGTATCTTCTGGCCCCCATAAGAAATCCATCATAATTTTATCTAACTTCTTAGCTACACCCACTGGAATACTAAAGATTGAGACGAGGTGCTCCCAAAATGCCTTGAGGTGTATGCCAGAGGTGCTGACACCTTTGAGGCATATGCCTCAGGTGCAAGAGGCATACACCTCATGCGTTTTTTTCATGAGGCGTGCTAGAGGCGTACACCTCATGCGCCTCATGCACATCTTATATAAAAAGATAGAAAAAAAAGAAAAAAAGGAAAGCAAAGGAAAAGAAGGGGAAGGGAAAGAAAAAGAAAAGGAAAGGGAAGGGAAGAAAAGATAAGGGGAAAGAAAGTGGTTGATCACTATGCATCTTTATTCTTCTTAAGGAGGCTTATGCCTTTCAACTAATGTTATGCATCTTTATTCTTCTTAATATAAAAGACTTTTATTAAAAATAAAGAAAAAAATGAGATCCCCCCTTCCTCTTCATCCTCCTCCTAATCCCCCTCCTCTTAAGGAGGCTTACGCCTCTTGCATTCTAAACTACTCCTCACGCCTCTAGGTAGTGGAAGAAAAGATAAGGGGAAAGAAAGTGGTTGATCACTATGCATCTTTATTCTTCTTAAGGAGGCTTACGCCTCTTGCGTTCTAAACTACGCCTCATGCCTCTAGGTAGTGGAACGCCTCGCGTCATGCTTCCGTGTTTTAAAACATTGGTTGAGAGGAAGTACACAAGTAAATTTGCTAAAGTGGACTTAATTAAAGTGATTCTTCCCCCAAGAGAAATGTAATTCCTTTTCCAACTTGCTAACTTCTTCTCAAATCTCTCTATTTCTGGGCACCAGAAACTTTCCAAATAAGGATTCCCCCCAAGCGCTAAGCCCAAGTAGTTCATTTGCTAGACACTCACCTCACAATCCTACACTTCAGCTAAAAAAGTGATTTCCTCTGTCCTGGTTATTCTTGCCACCCAACTCTTACTCAATTTATTTTTGATCAGTAACAGGAAACTTTCATTAAATTATAAGAAGATTAAAATACAAAGGTGGGGGGAGGTAAACCCTCTTACCCCCCCAATAATAAGATTACATAGTAGCCCAAAACAAATGGCTTCTTCCCACCCTTTGTTTGGCCAAAGCATTTGCAAATGAATAGCACATCTTTTAACCCACTGGACATGCACATGCATTCCTTGGGTTAGCCACTTGAAATGCCGTTTTTCATTAGTGTATGCCCATAGCCCATCGTTTGCCTTCTCTATCCAGCCAATTACCACTTGCGAACCGCCTTCGATAATCAACTTATTTATATTCAATTCCTTAGCCCGTTTTACCCCCGCCAGGAGGGCCTGAATCTGCTCTCAAAGAGTCTCCAACTCCAATTGGTCCAGAAAAAAGAGCTATAACTGAACCTGCCTCTGTTCTGAACACACCACGAACCCTTGATGGCCCTGGGTTTCCTTCACTTCTCCCATCAAAGTTGAGTTTGATAAAGCTTTCCATCGGAGGGATCCAAATCGGATGGACATTCAGTCTACTAGGAGCCGAGACTGCTATCTCCTGCCAATTATTCATGATGGTCTCTATTGAAACATCCTCAAAAAGATTCATTGTTTTTACCCATTGTGCTACCCTCAATGAGATTACTTCTATAATTGTGTCCCTACTTCCTTCTTTTTCAGCAAATATCCTTTGGTTCCTTTCCTCCCAAATCGTCCAACAAACTGCTGCCTTAGTGCATCTCCACAATATTTTCCCCCTCTTTTTGATATGACAACCAACTGCAACCAAATAAATAGAGAAACCACTCCCAAATAGACATTCTTACCTCAATTCACCTTAAGATTAGACACTCTTTCAAACCGATTGACTAAAGCTTTAAGATGCTCCATTTCCTCCCTTTCCCCCCTCACAAAATAGAATTAAATCATCCGCGAATTGCAAGTGAGTAATCACTACCCCTCCCTCCCCACTTTTTTTTGATGACTAATAATGCAATTTTATTAAAACCCTCTCTTCCCACTTTCCATCCTTTTAGCAACTTCTTAGCATCAGCCTTAGCAATCATAACACTCGGTACATCAGCAACCAACGTGAAAAGAAATGGGGATAAAGGGTCTCCTTGCCTTAAGCCTCTTTTTGTTGGAAAAAAATCTCTAGCCACACCATTTACAAGAATAGATTAGTGGCAAGTTGAGATACACCCTTTTACCCATCTACACCTCCTCTCTCCAAAGCCCCTACGCATTAGGATTTCTAGAAGAAACTCCCAATCCACCAAGTCGTAAGCCTTCTCTAAGTGCAGTTTACATAAGATCCCTTTCTCTCTTTTCCTTTTCCTATAATCCACACAGTCATTTGCAATCAGGGTTTGATCTATGATTTGTCTCCCACTAATGAAGGCTCCTTGATTTAGAGAAATTAAATAGGGAATACTTTGCCTTATCCTTGAGGCCAATACCTTTGTTATAATTTTATACATGCTCCCCGCCAAGCTGATCTGTCTATAATTCTTTGATTGACTAACCTTCAATTTCTTTGGGACCAATGCTATACAAGTGGCTTTAGCTCTTGGATTTATTTTACCTCTATTAAAGAATTCTTCAAAGACCTCCATTAGATCATATTTTAATCATAGTTGCCAAGGCGACAAGGCACCCTTGGAGGCTCGCCTCGCCCACTCGCCAAGTAGTTTTGTGCACTATGTTATAAAATACTTTTATATTTTAATTTTTTGACATTATAATTATAAAATAGGCATTATTAAACTAGAATACTCATTTTATGTGTTTATGTACTAATTTCTTTTTATTTATTTCTTATTTGTTAGGGTTTAATCAACACAAACATTGCTAACTGTTGTATTGAACTCATGGTTCAAAGTATCGATACATCTTTGTGTATCGGTAGAGGTGTATCCGTACTTGTAAAGATACTCTCCCTATTTTTTTTTATTTCTTTGGTTTTCAATTTCATATATATATATTTATTATTTAAAAAAATGGGTTCCCGAAAACACCTGTAAACATGTGTATTGGGGCGGCAAAGATACAATACAATACACCCGATACAGGGCGTATCGTGTCGAAGTTTTGATCCTTGATTGAATCCTCAAAGATATTAGAACCTGAACCAATAAGCCAGGGAAGAACTTAAATTTTTGTCTAATCAACACATTTTCTTCTTATAGTTCTTCTTCTTCCACCTTTCCTTTTCTTCTTTTCCTATAACAAAAGTAGGGTTCAGCCCCTATATTTTTTGAGTTTTCTTTCCTTTGTTCCTTTTCTTCTCATAAAATGTTGATTTTCTAAACTTAAAACTTGAAATTTATACTTCTCTTATGAAAATTATGGATAGTTATTAAGGAAAGATGGTTATGGAACCTAGGGAACTACCCTAGGATATATGGTTTTACTTAAAAAGTTCCATCGCCTAGGCGACAACGCGCCCCCCTGTCTACCAGCCTCGCCTTGGCACCTTAAAAACTATGATTTTAATATCTCCCAACAATCCTGATAGAAGGCCATTGAAAAAGCATCCGATCCTGGAGCTTTTGATCTGTCTATCAAGAAAATTGCTTCCCTCACCTCTTTTGCCTCAAATTTCTTTCTAGGGATTCCATTAACTCCCTATCCCCTGCTTGCCAATCTAGATCTTGTAGGCTCTCCCTTCCTCCTCTTGGTCTAAACTCAACCTTATCCTCCTGCCACCAACATTTTTCTTTCTGTACAAACCCTGGGTGCAGGAGCCAAGCATTCTCATATCTAAATGGGCAAGGACCACCTCCTATTTCTTTCTTGAGCTAGCCTAAATGGACAATGGTTTGAAACTGGTCTAGGCAAAGCTCTAGCTACCAAACCTCTCCGTACTTCCTCCCAATCTGAAGAAAAGAAAAACCTGTCCAATTTTGAGCATATGGGTTCCTCTTGAAAGCTTGACCAAGTAAATTTGGCTTGCAACAAAGTCAATTCCCTCAATACAAAAGACTTCACATAAAAGATTAAATTTTCTCGTACTGGTGGTGATTCTATGGTTTGGATTATTTGTTTGATAAGAGAATCTAATTACTTTGAAGTCACCACCCAAACACCAAGGTCCATCCCAAAGTCTTCTTATTGCAGCTAGTTCCTCCCAAAATTCATTTCTTTCCCCATAGGAGTTCAGCCCATACACATTTTTTAGCACCCATTTAAAGCCATCCTCTCTTACACATGCTGAAATTTGCAGCATGACTAGTGGATAGGAATACATGTTGGGTACTTTTGGGCCTCATTCCTGTGTCAAATAGATTATAGATATCCACATTACATGGATTCACTGTTAAACCAATGCATGTTTATATGCATGAACTTTCATCTTTTTATTATTTTCTTTAAGATCGTATTTTTTTTTCTAATTTATTCTATATCATATACTGTATGACTAATTTTCACTTCTCTATGGTCTGTTTTTCTTTTTTCATTCTTATTTCTATATTAGTGAACTGCAGTCTCTAACTTCCTGCGTTGATGCCATACTTAATCTATATTGCTTTATAGAGATCTATTATCATTTGTTGCTTAAATCTGGTTTTTGATTTGCTTGTAGTTTTTCATATCTTTTTCCTTCTCTTTCATTTTATCTGTTTATATTGTTGGTTCAGAAGCTTGCTGAAGAAATGCCACGCTCATCACATGCTTTGGAGGAACAAAGTGGTCAAGCAGTTAAATCGGTGGTTTGTGAAGAAAATGTTCCTAGTGAAGTTCAACAGGTACATTTGACTCATTAATAAATGTTCCATACTTCTGTAGGTATAGTTTATGTTGGATATTTGGGTATAGGTGATGGATGTGGATGCTCTCCTGGTCTGAGTACTTCAAATTCCTGATGTTGTGCTGAGTTTATGTACCTGTTGTTTGTTGTCCTTATTGATCATTGCACTTTTACAACTATTCTACTTTACAGGTTGATCGGATTCTTGGATGTCGAGTTCAGAGTAGTGCCACAGACTCCTCATCTCTTGATGTGCCAATGAAAGTTTCAAATTCTCCCAGGACTCCAATACATGCTGCATCTGGAAAGAACTCTGTGGTGGTTGGAAATGAAATGCTTTCTCAAGATTTACCTATCTCAGAGAATAATAACAGATTATCGGATGGCAGTCCTATGCCTGATAAAGTTATCGATGTTGGGGATGCTGAAGATATTGCTGAGGGTTTTCAGAATACTGTTATGCAAGTTGATAAGGGAAAGAACATAGATAATGATTCCAGAACAGATAAAATACATGTCTACAGAAGAAATGTAAACAAGGAGTGTACAGAGGGGATCAATGTGGGTTCTAAGAGGAGATCTTTCAAGGATTGGGGTCTTACAGCCCGAAATAATGAAGGTAAAGATCGATCTACTGTAGATACAAATACAGCAGAAGTAGCTGAAAAAATGACAATGGAAGAGAATACTGTTATAGAACAGCTTAACTTGAATGATCCTGGTAATAATCCCTTGTCCAAAGATTGTGCGACACCCATATCTGATGGTTCTGGAGATGCAAAAGATACAGATAAGGAGGTAAAACTGAACAGCAGTGCAGAAAACAAAATTCATGAGGCTAATTTGGATGAATCTATGCCCTCAGACAGAGACTTTGTTCTGTATGAATTTTTAGTCAAGTGGGTGGGAAGATCTCACATTCACAACAGTTGGGTTTCTGAGTCCCAACTGAAAGTAATAGCAAAGAGGAAACTAGAGAACTACAAGGCTAAGTATGGAACAACAGTGATTAATATTTGTCAGGAAAAGTGGAGCAAGCCACAGCGAGTGATTGCTCTGCGTACATGCAACAATGGTATGACTGAAGCTTTTGTGAAATGGTCTGGACTTCCTTATGATGAATGCACTTGGGAAAGATTGGATGAACCTGTCATTCAGAAGTCATCAAATCTGATTGATGAATTCAAGCAATTTGAATGCCAAACAGTGGCTAAAGATGCTATGAAGGATGATTCTCTGTGTTGTAAGGGTGATCAACAACAAAGTGAGATAGCTACTCTTGCAGAGCAACCTAAAGAACTTAAAGGTGGTTCACTATTTCCACATCAGTTAGAAGCATTGAACTGGTTGCGCAGGTGCTGGCATAAATCTAAAAATGTCATCCTTGCTGATGAGATGGGGCTAGGGAAAACTGTTTCAGCTTGTGCTTTTATTTCATCATTATATTTTGAGTTTAAAGTTCGGCTGCCTTGTCTAGTCTTGGTTCCTCTTTCCACGATGCCAAACTGGCTTGCTGAGTTCTCCTTATGGGCTCCCAATTTGAATGTTGTGGAGTATCATGGTTGTGCTAAAGCAAGGGCAATAATTCGGCAATATGAATGGCATGCTAGTAATCCAGATAGTTCAAATAAGAGAACTGCATCATATAATTTTAATGTTCTCTTGACAACTTATGAGATGGTGCTTGCTGATTACTCTCACCTGCGTGGGGTTCCTTGGGAGGTGCTTGTGGTTGATGAGGGGCATCGCCTGAAAAACTCAGGAAGTAAACTTTTCAGCTTGCTAAATACATTTTCCTTTCAGCACCGTGTTCTGTTGACTGGCACCCCTCTGCAGAACAACATAGGTGAGATGTATAACTTGCTAAATTTCTTGCAGCCTGCTTCATTCCCTTCTCTGTCATCATTTGAAGAGAAGTTTAATGATCTTACAACTGCGGAAAAAGTGGAGGAACTGAAGAAGCTTGTTGCTCCACATATGCTTCGGAGACTTAAGAAGGATGCTATGCAAAATATACCCCCAAAGACGGAAAGGATGGTTCCTGTTGAATTGTCATCCATCCAAGCAGAGTACTACCGTGCAATGCTTACAAAGAACTATCAGGTTTTACGGAACATAGGAAAGGGTGTTGCTCACCAATCCATGCTAAACATTGTTATGCAGCTTCGGAAAGTCTGCAACCATCCGTATCTAATACCAGGCACTGAGCCAGAATCTGGATCAGTTGAATTCCTTCAGGAGATGCGCATCAAAGCATCAGCCAAGCTGACTCTGTTGCATTCTATGCTTAAGGTGTTGAATAAGGAAGGTCATCGTGTCCTTATATTTTCACAGATGACGAAGCTCCTTGATATACTGGAGGATTACTTGACTGTTGAATTTGGGCCAAAATCATTTGAAAGAGTGGATGGTTCAGTATCAGTTGCAGACCGTCAAGCAGCAATTGCACGCTTCAATCAAGACAGAAGTCGCTTTGTCTTCCTGTTATCGACTCGGTCTTGTGGCCTTGGGATTAATCTGGCTACTGCGGACACTGTTATTATTTATGATTCTGATTTCAATCCACATGCTGATATTCAAGCAATGAATAGGGCACATCGGATTGGTCAGTCAAACAGACTTCTGGTGTATAGGCTTGTTGTTCGTGCTAGTGTTGAGGAGCGCATATTGCAGCTTGCAAAGAAAAAGCTGATGCTTGATCAGCTTTTTGTGAACAAGTCTGAATCTCAAAAAGAGGTGGAAGACATACTACGATGGGGAACAGAAGAACTTTTTAGTGATTCTGCTAGTGTGACTGGAAAAGATGCAAGTGAAAATTCTAGCAATAAAGATGAAACAACCACAGATACTGATCATAAGCATAGGAGGAAGACTGGTGGTCTTGGGGATGTGTACAAAGATAGATGTACTGATGGTAGCACAAAGGTTGTATGGGATGAAAATTCAATTTTCAAATTGCTTGACCGCTCAGACCTTCAGTCTGGGTCATCTGAAATTGCTGAAGGAGATTTGGATAATGATATGCTTGGCTCAGTTAAGGTAAAGTGCAAACTGTCATTTTCTTCTTCATGGTAAAACAAAATTTTTAATAAAAGAAAAAAATTCTTAAATAAATTTATTAAAAGAAATATACAAGGAAATGGAGTGTTAGTGTAGGATTGGCTACACTGATACCTATTAGTACAAGACTGGTGTGATCCAATGCTGGACTAGTAAGAAATTTGAGGGAATAGTGAAAAGGAAATGTTGTCTTCAAGGGTGCAAGTCCAAGGTTTGGTTTGTGGATCTAGGAGTAGGTTTAGGATGGTGGATTAAGGTTCTTCTAGGTCCATAAGGCTATATGATTTATTAAGAAATTAACTAGGGTCTAAAATTTCTGCAATATGCAGAAATTTTTGAGAGAACCCCAAAAAATTAATATCTTGAGATTAGAATGGCATAATTGTTTTAAAATAGTTTTCGAGATGGTAAACTGAAGAAAGGATTTGAATTTGAAGGGGTTCTGACATGATTTGGTACAAGAGGATGTGAGTTCCCCTTTTTTTTTGAAATCTAGGGTTTTTAGTGTGAATTCATGTAAACTGTTTTAGTAGGACAGAAATTGACATAAAATATGGGGGATGTATGAATCAAACTTGGTTTTGGTTGAGAGAAGACTTATCCGGGATCAATTCAGTCCTTATTAATGTTGATTGATGTCCTTTGGTTGCTCTGTCCCATATATTTGATAGTTTTGGTGGCTAAACTCAGAAAACTTGTAGGAAGTGTATGCATTGACTATGGAGAAACACCCACATATTGTACAAATTATCAAAGGGCGAGGAGTATATAGACAATCACTTAGATACAAGAAGCAAAGCTGTCTCTCGAAGAGGCTGTACTTAATCCTCCAATAAATCCACTTTCAAAAGTTAGCTTCTCTATATGAGGCTCTATTCACTTCCTCAAACTTTGGGTGAATAAGCATCCTATTGAACGATAGTGAATGGATGCCAACACAAAGACATCTGTCATCTCTCTATGTTTGATACACATATACCTGAAAATGCTTAGCATTATTGGTGTCAAACATGATACTGAATGCTGTGGAGGCACTTCTAGATGTACTGTATGGCAATGTTTTCACTATACAATCCAAGTGAATACCTGCTTTGGCTAAAACATCTGCAATTGTATTCTGATCCCTTGGTATCCAGTGCAGCTTAGCCTTTATAGAGGACAGAATTTCTCTGGCTTTACAGGTAATGGGCAAGCCTCCAAGGGTGATTTTCCTCCTAGCTACTTTATCTTATTTGCAGTACCTCCTCTAAAGATTAGCTATGAGATACCCATATTTCTGACAATGTGAATACCAGTGAGGGAAGCCACAATTTCAGTCTTTGTTGAGTTGGCTAATCTAATCGTTCCACTGTATGTCCAGTAAACAGATCCGCCCCTCTCTGATAACTCCACCAGTGCCAGCTTCCCCCAGATTTCCAAGAGCTCTCTTGCCAAAGTTAAGAGTCATCATCCCATCCTCCTTGATGCTAGGAGCTTTGGGGAGAGTTTGAAGTCTGGGAGAGGAGAACAAAAAGTTCACGTTTCTATTAAGGTCATTGTTCGAAATACCTTTAAAAATACCTGACGTAGTGTGACCCATGAAAGGTCTGAGTAGTGAGAGAAATCAAATCCTTTTGAGATCTGGCCCTGTTATCAAATATTCTGTTATTTCTTTCTTCCCAAATGCTCCATATAGCATGAATGATGGTTTTCCACAAAACAGTGCCTCTACTACAAAGTTCTTTGCTTTGCCACTGCCATTAAAGATCTTCAATCTTTTTCTAGTTATCTAGCAATGGATGAGAAGATGACCGATAATCTCACCATTATTAAGGTGAAGGCTGCATGCATGAGGGGAGAGATAGTGATTCCTTCATTCTTCTTTTGGAGGAGGTCAAGAGTATTGATTCAAGCTTCTAACACAAAGAAATGGATTCTGGAATTATTGTATTGTATATTTGGGGTACTGATATGCTGAAATCAAAGGGGTTTTGGGTTGTTTCAGGGGGTAGCCAGGCCTTAGACCAATCCCCTGTCAATTTTTTGTTTTTTTTTTGGGGGGGTAGGGGACCAAAAAAGGGGAGCATAGCCCTTTGAAACAACTGATACACATGTTTGTGCGTATTGGGTGTATCAATACATTGAACCATAGGTACGAGTGCTGTTCTTCTGTAGTTAGAGCCTTGAGAAAAGACTTAGATGAGAAAATCCTGGCAGGGTGAACTAGTGAAGGGTCCAATACGGTGGGTAGAAGAGAGGGAGGGGAAGATGTAGACCTTCCTAAGGGTTGAAGAAAATCAGCAATTTCAGAGATTTTCAAATCCCTTAGCAGTCCGATTCAGGTTCCAATTGAGCTGAGAAGGGCAGGAAGAGATGGTGCAGGAAAGGCTAAATAATCGGGGGAAGGAAGTGGCTAGGATGGAGTAACCCCACCAGAAATCAGTTTAGTTTTTTATTTTAGCACCATTCTTCACATTGCATCTAATGAAAGAGATAAAGCTGGAGTAAGAGGATATTATACCCTTCCAAGGGTTTGTTTCTTTGACCTGGTTCAAGTGGGTTTTACTATCCTAGCCATTTATGTGCTTTCTGTATTTGCTGGAGATGACAGCTGTCCAGAGGCTGTTAGACTCTAGGGAGAATCTCAACAACCACTTGTCAAAAGAGCTTTGTTCCTCTCTTCGATATGCTCAATATCTAATCCTTCCGGCCCTCCTAGGCTTGCAATCCTGCTCCCACCGAACAAGATGACTTCCTTGATCTTCCCCACCCTCCTATAAGAAATTATGTTGAATCCTCTCAAGATGATTGGAAATTCCGGAGGCGACATGAACAGTAGAGAGGCAGTTGACAGGTAAGTATAAGTTGGCAAGAGAAGCCTTTAAGAGAGTAAGTCTTACCCCTTTTGAGAGATAACTCTTGTTCCTAGTTGCTAACTTCTCACGCTTTTCCACGACCGGCTCCCAGAAGGCTGTACTTTCTGGATTCCCGCCAAGAGGCATCCTCAAGTATTTCAAGGGGAGGTTCTCGATATTGTAATCCAACACCAACTTGAAACTCTCTATGAGATTATCATCAAAAGTATTTATTCTTGCAATGCTGCTTTTGGAGAAGTTCATCTGAAGTCCTGTCACCAGCTCAAAACCTTGGATTACCCTCTTTAGATTGGTGATATTACCCAAATCCGCCTCCAGGTATAGGATAAAGTCATCAGAAAATTGAAGATGTGAGATGTGGATTGCATCTCTATTCAAAACCCTTTACCAGATCAAGTCTTTTAGCTCTCTCAATTAGTTGGTTGAAAATCTCTGCTACAAGAATGAACAGCAGAGGGAAGAGAGGGTGACCTTGCCTGAGCCCCCTTGCTTTTAAAAAGTCTTTTGGCTTCCATTAATCAAAATAGAAAACCAGGCAGGGTTGATGCATTCCTTTACCCACTTCACCCACCTTTCCCCAAACCCAACAACCTCATCATCCTCAAAAGACAACTCCAAACTTGATCTTGTATCCTTTACCTCATCATTTCTTTGTTCATATTGCAGAATCAGCCTTGCTTAGTGTGCTGTCACAAATGACTTTTCATGAATTTATCACCTGTTCACTGGTGTTTCTTTATATTAGCATGTGAGTTTATTATAGGCTGTTCTGTCACACAGTTACAGTTAATCATATTGTATCAATTTTAGCAGAAATGTCCTACTGAATATATTTGGTCTATTAAAAATGAGTTTTTTTAATGAAACAATGAAGTTTTTTTTAATGAGTTAGTTGAACCAGCAACTGTGTCTTCTCTTAGTATTACTTCTAATATGAAGTTATTTTCTGATTGAATATTTGCTTGTTTGTGCCAGCATTTGTAATTTTCATTATATGTGATTATCCAAGTGCATCTATGATTGAGGTGATAAATGGTACTTGCAATCGGTAGCTGATACCCCCTTTCCAAAATAAAAAACCCAAAGGAAAGAAATGGCTTAAGGTTTAGTCCAGCATACTGATGTCCGAGCTCATTGCTCATTTACTATGATTCCAAAAATTTCTTGGGGTTCAATTTTTGGAGTGCTATTCTGCATAGTGTTATAAAAGTAACATATGTTAATGTACCATATTTGTTATTTCTTTTGTCAAATATGGTGATTTTTTTCACTGGTAGATCTTTACTGGGCTTTGGCCCTAGTTTAATGTTTACTTCATTCTTGTGTTGGTGCTAACAAAATTTTGAAGAAAAAGTATTTTAGATCCTCTTCATGCCTGATTTTGGTATGTAGTGGTTTTTAAGAGGTCATGAATATTTATCAGAAGAGTGGAACCAACATTACAAAGCCAATCTAACATTTTGTTTGCTGTTTTTCATGATTAAATGCTCTGCAATCATCAGTCATTGGAATGGAGTGATGAACCAAATGAAGAACAAACAGGGGCCGAAGTACCTCCTGCAACTGGTGATGTCTGTGCACAAAATTCTGAGAAGAAAGAGGAGAACTCAGTTAATGTTCCCGAAGAAAATGAATGGGACAGACTTTTGCGTGTGAGGTCAGCATTTCCTTCTTGTAGCCACTTCTATTTTCTACAAAGTTCACTACAATGCATTAATGACATCATTGTTTTAGTTGTGCAGTTAATTATGATAATAAATTTCTATCTTTGTAATGAAAAATTTTGCGAAGTCTGATATTCCTTAAAAAGAAAGTGATAATGGACCGATGTTTTGCTCCCCCTTATTCTATTTTTACCTTCTCAATATATGGAATTTCAAAGGTGGTTGTTAAAAAGACCTACTGTCCAAGAATTAAAGATCTACTGTTGAAGAAGGGGGAAGAGAATGGCTTCTTTCACTACAAGCATAAAGTTAGTCTTAGTAGAATTAGTAAATTGCTATACAGTTATCCTAGTTTAAATAGGAAATTTCTATTTTCTGTAGAGTTTTAATATAAATAGGAAGTTGCTATTTTGTTTCTTGTAATTCTATAAGTTGAAGTCAATAGGTCTTGTAGGTACTCTATGCTGTCATCATCATCATTTTGATCAGTTGTTGTTGTTGTTGTTGAAGGTAAGAAAGGAAGTTTTATTTTTATTTTCTACCATAGCCAACAGGCATAGTACAGTATTTCGTCTTGGTTCTTTATTTGCTTGTTAATACTTGTGACTGAAGCCTACTACTTTATGCAAAAAAACTTCTGTTTTAAGGAAATCTTTCCTGTTTTTGAAGTTCCCTAGACTTTAATATTTTGCATCTCAGTATGTTTAATGTAGTTTGTACCTTTTACAAAAAACTGGACACTTATGAACCAATAAAGTATCAAATATGCATGAAAGATGGTATCCTTCTATTCAGCTAAATTGAAGGCAGTAACTCACTCCTTTAATTGAAGAATTTTATTTGTTTTATACACTATGTTGGATTTTTAGGTGGGAGAAATACCAGAATGAGGAAACAGCAGCTCTTGGTCGAGGGAAGCGCTTAAGGAAAGCTGTTTCTTACAGAGAAGCGTTTGCTCCACATCCAAGTGAAACACCGAGTGAGGTACTATTTTCTTTTTTTGCTCTTGAAAAATAATACTTCTCAAAGGTGTATAGTTTTTTGTTCTTTTTTGTCAATTGTGAAATTGCTTGATGAATTTCAAATTTGTATGGCGCTCGATTTGTATGTTTATCCCTTTAACCTTCTAGTGTTGAATGATGAAAAAGGCCATTACCAAATGCTGGTACCAGATCTCCAGGGTCTTGTAGCTGTATTTTGACACTTGTTAACTTGAGAGTTTACCATTGCATTAAGCAATGACCCCTCTAATCCTTCTAATTGGTTATACATGGAAAAAGAGAAGTTGTTGATGAAGCCTCTCTTATGGAGTGAACATATTACTACAAGCCACCATCTACATCCTTCATCTGCTCAGTGTCAGTATCTTCCTCAACAATGACTTTATTTTATACAATGGCAAATGTGAGCACAAGACATGGAGAAGGATGAAGAACAAGGAACTTGCATGTTAAGGAATTCTTTTAGCATGCAGGACTAGGGTAATAGGGTACACTCAACATAAAAGTTGGCCACTAGGCCTAAAATTCCAAAATAAATACCCATCAAAGTTCACTGGTGGAGTTCGCTTTGGTAGACGGTAACAAACTATAAAAAGACAGGAGCTAGAGATTTTTTTGGGGTTATTAACAAATATATCAAGATAATTTTATTAATATTTAAAAGGAGTAAGATACAAAGAACAAAGGGGGTAGGGTGACTTTGATTAGGGCCACACTTGCCAACCTTCCAACCTACTTCCTCTCAGTCTTTAGGATTCCCCCAAGGGAGGCTAAGAAATTGGAGAAGTTAATGAGGGATTTTTTGTGGGAACTTGGAGAGGTAAAAAAGGACCATGTAGTTACATGGGAAATAGTCTATAAACCTAAGGAAGAAGGGGGCCTAGGGATAGGGAACATGGTGCAGAAGAATGAAACCCTCTTACGGAAGTGGTTATGGAGATGGCCTTGGGAGAGAGAGATTATGGCATGATGTGGTGTCAAGCATTCATGGTTGCTTAGAAAATGGCTGGGATGCTGGGATATCTCGTCAAGCACCCTCACAACACCTTGGAAGCCTATACATGGTATTCTCCCTCGCTTTTTCAGGTTTATTAGGTATGATGCTTGCTTTGGTGATTCAATTCAGTTCTAGGAGGATGTTTGGGTGGGTAATCAACCCCTCAAAAGATCGGTTCCCTTTGCTTTACTTTCTCTCCCTTTACAAAAATGAGCCAATTGCAAAGTTTCTTCCAAACCCGTTTATTCCCTTGTCTTTAAACTGGGACTTTGGATTTCGTAGGGAATTGAGGGATAGTGACTGGTGAGTTGACTTGTGTCTCTGAGTTGCTTCAATTCCTTGAGTCAACTTGTTTGGACCCCACATCTTTTGATCAAAGAGATTGGACTCCTCTTCCAAAAGGTACCTTTACGTGCGCTTCTTTTTTAAAATCCCTCAGTTCCAACCCTAGTCACCGAGTGTTCCCTGTTAAAGAAGTTTGGGTGTGACCTATTCCTCCAAAAATTATTGTATTCTGTTGGGAAGTTTACTATGGGAAAATCAATACTTTGGAAAACTTGCAGGAAAAGAGACCTTTTCTTTGTCTTTCCCCAAATTGGTGTTCCTTGTGTAAGGTCTAGAATGAAGGTTGTTTCCATTTGCTGATTTCCTCTTCCTTTGCTACATCCTTATGGAGTTGGAGCCTTAGTTTATTTGGAGGTAGGTGGTCTCTGGCTTTTGATGTGAGTTTGTTATTTAACCCTTCTACTGTTGTGTGGTACACAAGAAGAGGTAATTTCATGTGGAAATGTATCAGGGCAGCCACCTTATGCACTCTCTGGGAGGAAAGGAATGCAAGAGTCTTCTTAGAGAAGGAAAGAAGCTTGGATGAAGCGAAGGACTGTATTTTGACAAGAGCAATCCATTGGCTGAAAACCTTGGCTATATTTGCTGATTTCTCTTTTGATGACCTGTGGAGGAATTGGTCAGTAATAGCTAATACTTCTACTAAGAATAATAGAAGTTTGTTAGAATGGAATCCGCCTCCAGAAGGTGTCATCAAGTTAAATTTTGATGGGAGCAGCCAAGGTAACTCTGGGCCTTTGGGTATAGGGGGTATTCTAAGGAATAAGGATAGCAACATCATTTCCTTATTCTCAAGACCGGTGGGATAGGGACATCTCCTAGTTGAAGGGGATTCTCAAGTGGTAATGGGGTGGCTTTGAAACCCGGATGATGCCATTTGGGGCTACAAAGACCTAGTCAAAAAAGTAAAGTGGTTAACTAGTAATATGAGAGTTGAGGTTAAATGGGTAAGCATGTTGGCTAATACTTTGGCTGATTCTTTGGCCAAACAGGCGGTTTCCAAGGGAGGTCTTTTTTGTGCTACATTGTAACTTGTTCTAATAAACTGGAAAGCTGTACTTAATTAGCTTGGAGAGGTTGCATCTCGTGCCTCTCCTTGGGGACCTTGTACTATTTATCTTTGCTGATTAACGAATTTCATTGAATTATCAAAAAAAAGGAAAATAAGATAAAAACCCCATATTGGTTACATCCAACCCATAGTTGTCAAGGCGACTAGGCATGGCTAGGCGACCATGGGGCGCCCAGGCGGCCTAGGCGATGGAATCTACAAATATACAATCTATAGATTTCAGCCATATAATCATATTCATATATATTAATGATAGGTTCGACTGCTAAAAACTGAAGTGAGAAGTGAGAACAATGACTGAATCAGTGAAGGGAGGAGAGGAGTATAGGGGCAGAGCCCTTGTTTTTTCGAAAAAAAATGAAAAAATGTTTGAGCTGAGAAGAGAGAATTCAGGACTGATTCGACTAAAATCTGGAAAAGAGAAGAAGAAGACTGGTGGAGCCCCAGTTTTTTCGAAAAAAATAGGAAAAATGTCTGAAATCTGAAGAAGATAGACCCCCTCAGCCCAATCCCAACTGAGACTCCAAATTTCTTAACTGAGCCAATTCCTGAAACTCCTCCTAGCTCAGTAAGACACAACAGGAAAATCTACAGGCCTCCTTCACCAGACAACTCAAGCTCTTCCTCTCCCTTCGAGTCAGACGGAACCGACACAGGTGAAGAAATGAGCTCTTATGCGACGGAGGCCGAACTGGACCCCAAAGAGGTGGCACTCTCAAGGGCCAAAGATCTGTTCACTACGAAGGAAGCCTGGGGAAGCGTTAAAATTCTCGAGCAGATACATCTTGTAAACCCTGAGTGCGGGATCGATTGCGGACCAGCAAGCTTAGAAAGAGATCGAGGACGAGAACCACATACCTCTCCCAAAGTTTCCTCTTCTCCTTCCTCTTCTTTGCCTGCAATCTTTTTTGCTTCATCTTCCAATCTCGAATCTCACCTTAATTCTCCTCATTGTCTTTCAGGTTTGGATGAAGAGCACTCCCAACTGAGCTTTAACCCATTCTACCAAGAAAAGATGGTCAACGGGCAAGATAGTTCGCATAAACACAGAAGGGATGATAATATGGAAAAAGATGTTATTGGGACAGCTGGAAAATTGGGGTTTAACTGAAGAAAAGGGAACTTCACACATCTAGGCTCCAAAAAAGGGGAAAAATGGAATTCAAAAGGTTGAGTTTGTGAAGAGTGGCAAGCTGAATTCTACAAGGGAGCTAAAGAGACTTCAATGGGGATTGACAGATCAAAAGACAACAGGGCCTAGGGCGGACAAGGGAAAATCAGTTATTGGAGTTTAATGAAATTGTTAAGTTGGAACGTTTGGGGGTTGGGAGGCCAAATAAAAAGAAGTTTGGTGAAAGACTCATTGGGAATAGAAAACCCAGATATAGTCATTCTCCAAGAAACAAAAAAAGAAGTGGACAGGAAGCTTCTGAGAGCAATTTGGGGAATTCGAGGAAAGAAATGGGCTGTTCTTCCCGCTTTAGGTACTTCAGGGGGAATTATCATAGCTTGGAATGAAGTGGAGGTTTCGGGCATTGAAATTGACAAAGGAGAGTTCTCAATCTTAGTACTCTTCACCAATAACAGTGATGGTTTCAGATGGATTTTGACTGGAGTATACGGACCAAACGCTCTTGCAAATAGGCGCAGACTCTAGGAAGAGCTGGATGCTCTACATGAATTTGATGAAATCCCTTGGGTAGTAGGAGACTTTAATGTCACAAGGTTTTCTCAAGAAAACTCCAACAGAAGAAAAGTAACTAGAAGCATGAGGGACTTCTCTAGTTTTATCTCAAGACATAACCTTTGCGACCTCCCCTCCACAGTGGCTAGTTCACCTGGTCAAATCTTCAAGAAAACCCAACAAGCTGCAGACTAGACAGGTTTCTGGTAACTTCAGATTGGATAGAAAAATTCCCAAATATCCTCCAAGAAATCAGACCTCACTGCATTTTAGACCATTGGCCTCTAGTCCTGAGAAAATATATGGTCTTGAAAGGTAAACCCCCCTTTAGACTGGAGAAAATGTGGACGTTACATAAAGATTTTCACCAAAATCTTACTCCCATCCGGGATGGGAGATCCATCATATGGATGGCCGAACCCTGTAGGAAGGTTGGGCGGAATTTCAAAAATTTCTTTACTCTCATTCGAGAATCCTCTTCCCAGTTTAGAAAACTGCATTTTCAAGGTTCGTTCTTGTAACCAAACTAGACCAAATCTGAAACCAAATTAATGGAGGGATATACTTGATACGGTATCCACGCAAGAATGATCCTCCCAACGTAGGTGTTCACGCCCAAAGAGAGTACCAAATCCTCCCTCCACTGAAAATGACACAGCTTAGGGTGAGGCAAGATCAACAGGTAGTTCTTCACCAAGAACTAGTGATTCTTCAGCAAGAATCGAATGAGACAATGAGCACAACTTCTATATTGTTTCTTTTTGCAAGAAACAATATCAAGATCCAATCTTGATCGAATCCAAGAATTGGAGACCGAACAAGGTGGGGCGGCAAGAGTAGGAAGAAATAGAGCAGAAGGCAAGGGCAGTCTAATTGTGTTGTCTT